TTGAAGTAGCAGTGCCAGGTAAAGAAACAGCAAACTCTCAACTGCTGAGCATGTGCCAGACCCTATTCTGAGTGTTTTACACATTTGCTCACTTAATCTCATAACCACCTGACAAGGTAGGGACTCCTTTTATCTCCATTCTTCACATGATGAAATTAAGGCACAGAGAGGTTAAGTAACTCCCCCAAGGTCACACAGTGGTGAGTTAGACTTTGAACCCAGGTTGTCCAATCCCATCTCCCAGCCCCTTAACCACTAGATGCCTTTGTGAGAATGGAGATTTTTTTAGAATGTACTTTGAGGTCTCAGGTTTAAGGTTTCCATTTTGCTTTCCATCTTTGTTCTAAAGCCCTAGGGTGAATATTTAAAGAACAAAAAGCGAAATCTACCAGCTGAACTGACTGTATGGAAACATCCAGGGCAAACCTCCCCTTTGAGGAGAGAAAATGATTTTAATAACATTCTTTGAGTTTACTCTTGTTAGTTGTGTTGCTTGGAGATACAGACCGACAGTATCTGCTCTTAGATGACAGCGTATTGGTGGGACCAGAATATACTCCCGAGCAGAGTATATGCTATACATAAATATCTCTGAAAGCATTTTTTTTTATACTCTTGTTAGTTGTGTTGCTTGGAGATACAGACCGACAGTATCTGCTCTTAGATGACAGCATATTGGTGGGACCAGAATATACTCCCGAGCAGAGTATATGCTATACATAAATATCTCTGAAAGCATTTTTTTTTTAATGGTAATATAGATCGCCTGCACGGAGGAAAGCCAAGCGTTTGGGCAGAAAAGGGAGAAAGACTGTTCGAGTACAGTTTGTACCTTTGGAATTTACTGCTATGTGAATGGATTATCTAATCAAACAACATGCACAATTAAAGCTCCTGCTTGTTCTTCTGTGACTATGTTTTTGTCGCATGTCTGTACGTATAACTCTGAATCCTATTTTTCTTGGTTATTACAACATAACCATTTTCCCACATTACTGAAATTTTCCATAAACAGAAGTTGTATGTACACATCCTTGTTAAAAACCTGAAGAAATCTGGGCACTCCCAACATAGATAACTTATACTTTTCAATTTCTGACTTTCCTTTGGGATTCCTCTTTATTGTGAATCATAGCTTCAGCACTGAGAATGTCCCATTTCCTGAAGAATCAGCCAATAGGTATTATGCCTGTACTAGGTTTAGGATAGAGAACGTGGCATTTCTACCCAAACTGCCTCACTGAATCCCCAGCAGCCTGAGGTAGATGTCGTAATCCTCGTTCCATGAAGGGCCCAAGTTCAAAAGGCTCAGCTAGCTCCTAAGCTGGATCTGGATCTAAGAATCTGGGTTTTGGGCTCGTGCCACCTTCTCCTTACCAAACTGCTGCTGGTTGTTCTATGTGGCTTTCAAGGACAGCTTTTCTGGCCTACAGTGCACACCTCCAACCACACACCCACTCAGTAATAACCTGTTGTGGCCCAGAGGCACCCCTGGATCCAGGCCAGGAAAAGTGAAGATGACACGGCTCCTGCACTCGGAGATCTCCACACAGAGAAGACAGCACGGTGCTCTTGCAGCAGGACAGACGACACACAGAGGCAGACAGGGCAGAGGCAGCGGGAGCCAGCCAGGCAGGGCTCTTGACTGTCATGTTAAGAAGCTGAGAAAATTCCTGCCACTGCCCCTCACCACCCATGAAGTCACGAAAGACTTCACTATTCTGATAGTTAACCAGCGATCACACTCTGTTGAGAGAAATTTCATGCTCCATAAGCAAGAGGAAACAGGGAAAACAGCCACCACGCACTTAATTCTGATCTACAAGTAACCGGTGGCCGAAGTGACAGGGAGCCGGGGGGAAATGAGGGATTCTCATGACATCTCATTTGGTACTCGTAGCCCCCCCCCCCCCAAGGCACCCACTTCCCAAGTGCTCAGCACGGTGCCTGACACCTTGGGGGGAGGGGAGGGAATAAGCTTAGGCAGGTGGAGTGTGCCCAAGGACACACACCACACCTGCAGTGGTGCCAGTGCAACCAGAACAGACAGCATGACGGACATCAGGACGTTCCAATGAAAATAGTAATGAAGGGTAAGGGAGGCTGGTCTGTCTGGAGCCATGTGCAGGCAACTGAAGTCAGGAAACTCCGGGTACAAGGGCAGAGCTGGGAACAATGAACCCTGAAGGCTGCACTGGAGAAACCCCGGGTGGGGCAGGCTGGGAGCAGGGTCACTTGGGGGACAGAGGGGACTGAAGGATGGGGCCTACGCTGGGCAGCACCACACACTCCTGGATGTGGCAATGGGGAGGGGGTGAAGTGGGACCGAGCAGAAGGCAAGGGTGGGAGAATTTGGGGAGGGCGGGGGGGGTGAACAACTCCTGGACTAGGGCTGCAGGTCAACGGGATGACTGCGCATCCCCGAGCCAAAATCCAGAACTTAGACTACATGGGCTTCAGGGCATTAAGTAGGAATTCTGGGATATACTAGCAAGAAAAGAAAAAAAAAAAAGAATAAATTGGACATATAAATTAAACACTTTTGTGTTTTGAAGGACATCGGGAAAATGAAACCATCACCCACAACATGGGAGAAAAGTTTTTCAATCATGTCTGATAAAGGGACTTGTACCTAGAATATATAAGGAACTCTAATAATTCAATAATAAAAAGTCAAATAACCCAATTAAAAATGGGCAAAGGATCTGAAGACAGTCCTAAGAAGATAAATAAATGGCCAATAAGCACATGAAAAGATGCTCAGTGTCATTAGCCCTCAGGGAAATGCACAAGAAAACCACAATGAGACCCCCTCCACCCCCACTAGGATGGCTAAGTTAAAAGACAGGTAAGCACAGGCGTTAGCCAGGACGTAAAGCAACCAGAACCCTCAGGCACTGCCCGTGGGAACACGATTCAGGCGCTGCCCGTGGGAACACGAAACGGTGCGGCAGCTCATGAAAAGGTGTGAGACAGCTACTTGACCCCAGCAAATCTCCTCCTAGGCGCACACCAAAGAGAACTGAAAACACACGTCCACACAAAAACGCGTCAACTAGTGTTATTCGTAATAGCCACAAAGTGAGAGCAACCCAGACTCAGGCACTGCCCGTGGGAACACGAAACGGTGCGGCAGCTCATGAAAAGGTGAGACAGAGCTACTTGACCCCAGCAAATCTCCTCCTAGGTGCACACCAAAGAGAACTGAAAACACACATCCACACAAAAACGCGTCAACTAGTGTTATTCGTAATAGCCACAAAGTGAGAGCAACCCAGAAAAGTGGAGAGGCAGAACGTGATCCATCACTGCGTACACTGGAGCATGACCCGACAGTAAGACGGAGCACAGCCCAACATATGCTACAACGTGGATGAACTTCTGCTTACAAGAACAGCGAAAAGAAAATGTCAGAAGAAAACGTGGGATTTAGCTCAAAAGCCATTTTTATTTTTTTAGAAGTGGCCTGGGCTATCCAAATTATCCTGTAAAAAAACCAAACAAACAAACAGAAAAACCTCTTCCAACCTCTAAGGTGAAAATAAAGAACATTTTTAAAAGTTCATTGTAACTAACAAAATAATTTCAGGTCTAGGGTATTACATGGGATTTACCACTGACGGGCGAGATCGATACTTCACAGTGAGGTGTCAGCTCCCTGACACTCATGGCTCCCAGACAGCCTGGCACTTTTCTGGGTCCGCGCATCTGCCCCGGGGCACACTCGTGTCACTCCCAGCCCTGCGGCTGTGCACAGTGGCTCCTCCTACCTGCCCCTCCCTGTGACCCTACTTCTTACATAACCAATGCACACACTCCCTTATAACCAATCAATAGGTTTGAGTCATCATTTTCATTTAAGACATCAGTTTTTGTGAACTGGGGGTACAGGCAGGAGATGGGGTCTGAGACCTCGGGCAGGAACGTGTCCCCAATTGTAACACTGCTCCCATGGGAAAATACTTTCCTGTACGATGCTACTTCATTTATAGGTGAGGAAACTGAGGTCCAGAGAGGGAATGGGTAGAAACCATGATTTTAAATGTTTTGGTTTGAAGTACTCTGGGACCCTCTGTTCAGAGGAAATCATCCAAGAAGCATAAATAGTTCAGTCGCAGCCAACGCAGCCCTGCCTCCCACCCCGCGAGAGGCATTGTCCGTGGGGCGTAATTTTAAACTACTGACATAAAGCCATAGACAAGCCAACCCCTGGGCCCTGTCCCAAAGCCACGGCAGAGGCTCTGCATTAACTGTATTTCCTTCTTTCCTGTATTCTTGATGCTCTGGCATCTGGGGCCTCACTCACCCTGGAGACACTGCCCCTCCCAGGCTAGCCAATTCCTGGAGATGGCCCTCACCTCGCCTGAGAGCGCCTTCTGGGCAAATCAACCACTCCAGAGTTGTACCTCACCTGCCTCCTCCATCTGGCTCTCACCGGCTCTCAGCCTCCCAGCCACTCTCCCATCCTAATCACCCCAGGGCCAGGTAGCAGACAGCCAGGGGCAGCCCCTACATGCCAGAGCCGGCTGAAATTATTCACAACAGCCAATCCCAAGCCTGCCCACCCTGCTTACCCTGCCTCGCCCACACTTCCCCTCACTCCTTCTGCCTCCTGATAGAGCTGGTGTTTTCCTCGGTGGCCCCCGTGGCATGGCCTGCCCCCTCTTCTGAGAACTGCGAACAAGGAACCATCTTTCCAATGGCAGTCGTCTCCCGAATGGCTGGCCTCACCACACCTGGATAATAAAATCTACATTTAAAAACAGGCCCATTCTAGCAGCAAACACTATCCCCAGAAGTCCTGGAATGAGGGATTCAGGAAATACACATCCTGAAGGCATCATGACTCTGGGGAGAGAGCCTGGGCCTGGCGAGGTGCCTCCCGGACGGCTTTAACTGTGGGCAGAGAAGAGACCACAGGTGAAGAAAGAGGCCTGGAGCCTGGAGTCACGGAGAAAGATGACGGAAAACAGGAGGAAGACCCTGGCAAGGAGGCAGGGCCAGAGAGGCGCCAGGCGCATGTGGGCTCAGGAGAGGGCAGGAGAGAACGCCATGGCGGCACAGGAGCTGGGCAGCGCCCGGAGGGCAGGGCCAGCTCAGCTGTCCAGCTCTTCCTTGACGATGATGCGCAGGGGACAGATGCACAAAGGCTCAGGGGGCCCATCCCCCCGAGCACCCCCCAGATAGAAGTAGGGCCGCACCTCCCCGAAGCGGGCGTGGAAGGTATACAGGTGGCACTGTCGCTCGGCGTCATAGAAGGACAGCTCGCCCTCCTCGCACTCCAGCTCCACACGCAGGCGGTGCGGGATGGCCAGGGCCAGGGGCGACGTGGCGGGGTCTGAGGTCACGCAGTGGTCCCCCTCCACCCCTTGCGTGCGGCACACATACCAGAAGCCTGAACGCGTGTCGTGGTAGCAGCTGTGTGAGTGGCCCTCGGCGCCTGCGTCCTGACGCACCCGCACCACACCTACCCGCCAGCTCTGCAGCCCCCCCAGGGCCACCTCCCAGGCGTGAGAGCCCTCTGAGAAGACTTGGGAGCCTAGCAGGCAGGGCGCCGAGGAGAAGCGCTCCGGGTTCTCCACCTGCACACGATAGCCGTGGTTGGTGACGCTGGTGAGGTCATCAGACACGGAGAGCCAGCCGGCTGCGGTGTTGGGGTCGAAGCTGAAGGGTACTGACAGCGGGGGGGAAAGAGGGAAATATCAGCACACCTGACACCCCCCCTCCTGCCATGCCCCTGACAACTCCAGTGCCCCTGAACTGGCCACCGGAGAGCTGCTGGGCTGAGGGGAGGTTTTGTGGCTTAAACTGTGTCCCCCAAAAAGATATGTGGAAGTCCGAACCCCTGGTATTCAGGACGTGACCTTATTTGGGAATGGGGTCATTGCAGATGACTAATTGAGGTCATAATGGAATAGGCTGGGCCCTTAATCCAATATGATTGGTGTCCTTATGAGAAGAGAGGACACAGGCACAGACACATGAGGGGAGAGCACCATGTCACGCCAGAGGCAGAGATCAACGTCCTGCAGCTGCGAGTCCCAGAGGGCCGAAGATTGTCTACGAGCACCAGGAAGGGGTGGAAGAGGACCCTCCCCGCAGGGTTGGGAGGGAACATGGCCCTGCCTACACCTTGGTTTTGGACTTCTAGCGTCCAGAACTGTGAGAGAATAAATGCTTGTCATTCACAGCCACATGGCTGTGGTCCTTTGTCATGGCAGCCACATTGGACACTAATATGGGCTGGAGTTCATAATGTTCAGATGACCCCATGGCATCTTAGCAAAGCACAGAGCATACCCGGGGTCGCCACCATCTCTCCCTATAGAGCCAGGACACAGTGGCTCACGTGGGTGACAGTCCTCTTGGGAGAGGTGACCCTGGGGCAGATGGTCTTTCAGTGTCTGTACAATACGGTTCTCGGTAGAAAGGAAAGCCAGTTTCTCTGTCTAAAGAGGGGCAGAGCGGCAGAACCTGGAGCCAAGAGCATTCTGCCAGGAGGGGTGTGGGCTGCTGGGCAGGACTAGGGAGGAGCAGGGCCCAGGGACCTGCCTGGAAGGGCCCAGGGGAGGTCAGGGGAGAGCAGAGGATCTGGGAGGCTGGCAGAGAGAAGTTCAGCCGACTCTCTGCTGGCATAAGGTGCTTCCACCCATACCAGAACCCTGCCACCCCCACTCACCAGATTCCACGGACGCAATCATCTTCTTCCAGACGCGGTACTGCAACGAGTCCAGGTATTTGCAGACATCGATGAGCATGCCGGCTTGCACGGGCTCTGGCTCCATGGTGCAGAAGAGCCTGGGAAGGAGGACTGGGCTTGGAGGGTGGTTTCAGGCCACACATCTGGGGCCAAACTTGGTGAACTGCACACAAGCCTACGTTTCCTGCCCATGTTTCCCAAGATGAACCTGGACTGAGCTCAGATGGTAGGGGCCAGGGGCCAACTGGGCTGTTACGCCCCTTCAGGATGAAGAAGAAGGGCTTACCCTGTCCCACCTGGGAGAGAGACAGAGGAGGTTCTCCAGCATGCTGCCGTCCTTGTGGGCAGAAATCACACTTACACATCTGCTCACAGGAGGTCTGAGTTGGGAGGAAGCTTAAGGGTCCTCTAGTCCCTCTGTCTGAAGGTGTGACCTGGCCTCTGCTTGAGCATCTCCAGTGACAGGGAACTCACTACCACCCCAAGCGCTCTCTTCCATCTCTGGACAGCTCTGATGGGACACAGTTCATTATTCATCCCTGTAAACCCAACTGCCACCAACACAAGCCAGTGTGGCCTGAGGCTTGCACAGGAGGGGGTTGAGCAAGAAACAAGCCTAAATGTTGGATGAGCCCCCAAGAAATCCAGCCACGTGCAGGGTGGGGCTTTCCCTCCCTCCACACCCAGGAGAACGCCACTCTGCCCCAGTGCCAACTGGTACTGAGATGCCTGGAAAGAGGCCCTCTGTAGCAGGCCAGTCCCTGCCACTCCTTCTGCATTTCACCAAGCTGGGTGGTTACCTGCCTGGCCCCGGGGCCACTGGGGTTTGCACCCCTGGGATTTTTGCCTGCTCTTCCCCTCCCCTCTAGCAGACTTGGCAACTTACCGACGTTTTCGGCTCTTGTGTTTCTAAAAGGAAGAACACAGAGACACAGACACAGAGGACATGTGTAAGTTCCTGACTTCAAAAGGAGCCATGCATCCCATGTTCATGGATCAGAGACTTGATATTATTAAGATGTCAATACTCCCCAAGTTGATCTACAGATTCAGCATAATCCCTATCCCAGCTGGCTTCTTTGGAGAAACTGAAAAACTAATCCTAAAATTCAAGGGATTCAGAATAGCCAAAACAATCTTGAAAAAGAAGAATGTAGTTGGACGACTCACACTCTTCAATTTCAAAACTTACTACAAAGCAATGGTAACCAAGGCAGCATGGTACCAACACAAGAACAGACATATAGATCAACGGAGGAGAATTGAAAGTCTAGAAATGAACCCTGGCACTTACTGTCCATTGATCATCGACAAGAGTACCAAGACCATTCACTGCAGGAAGAACAGTCTTTCAAATGGTGCTGGGACAACTGGATACTGACATGCAAAAGAATGAAGTTGGTCCTTATGCCACATACAAAAATTAACTCAAAATAGACCAAAGACCTAAATGTAGAGCTAAAAGTGATATAGAACTTGTATCCAAAATATAGAAAGAACTCTTACAACTCAACCATAAAAAGACAATCCAACTTAAAAATGGGCAAAGGATCCGAACAGGTATTTTTCCAAGGAAGATCTATAAAGGGCCAGTACGCACATGAAAAGGTGCTCACATCCTTAGCCATCAGGGAAATGCAAATCAAAACCACAATGAGATACCACTTCACACTGACCATGATGGCTATAATAATAATAAAAAGATAAATGTTGACAAGGATGTAGAGAAATTGGAATTCTCATACATGCTGATGGGAACAGAAAGTAATACAGTCACTTTGGAAAACAGTCTGGCAGTTCCTCAGATAGTTAAAGCTAGAGTTACCTGTGATTCAGCCAATCTCCTCCTAGGTATGTACCCAAGAGAAATGAAAACATGTCCACACAAAAACTGGAGCACAGATGTTTATAGCCATATTATTCATAACAGCCAAACAGTAGAAACAATCCAAGTGACCATCAACTAATGAGTAGACAAATAAAATAAATGTAATATATCCATACAGTGGAATATTATTCAGCCATTGAAAGTATTGAGTACTGATGGATGCTACACATGGATAATGTTTCAAAACATTACACTGAGTGAAAGAAGCTAGTCACAAAAGGCTACGTATTATATGATCCCACTTACATGAAATGTCTAGAACAGGTAAATCTCTCTCTACAAAGAATAGATTAGTGGTTGCCAGGGGCTGGTAGGGGAGAAATGAGGGAGTGTCAGCTAAAGGGTGTGGGGCAGGGCTTCTTTTGGGGGCAATGAAATATTTTAAGATTGATGATCATGATGGTTGCACAACTCTGCATATACTACAAATCACTGAACTGTGCATTTTAAACTGGTGAATTGTACAGTATGCAAATTATATCTCAATAAAGCTGTTATTTAAAAAAAGAGAGTCACGAACCAAAACATTGCTGAAAGCACCCTGGGCAGAGGACAAAATGACACCCCTGAAGAGAATTTCCTGAAGAGAACTGGCAAGGAACCCAGCTTTAGAACCCACCAAATGACTTTATAATTAGGAGCATTTTAGAGACAGGAGACATCATGGTTTAAGGCTTTACATGAGGCAGGGAACCCATAGAGGTCCTGGCCGGGATGTGACACCTGCCTAAACAAAGAGATGTCCCTGTACCCTTCCCACTGCATTGTACCAAGACTCCCCTTTCCAGAGAGGCCAACTGTTCTCCAGGTAGACGACACCTGCTATCCTGACCAATTTCCAGCTCTAAAGTTAGAAACTTCTCTATAAGGACCAATGATTTTCTTAAGAAAATACCAAGACATATTAAAATCAAAAAATTTAAATAACTGTATAATTTTTAAAGACTCCATTTTATTAAGGGGTAAAGAGAGTGACTGAGTGTGAGAAAGGGACAGAGAGAGAGGAAGGGAGAGATAAGAGGCTGTCCAGGAACTCTGCTCTGAGTACAGTCCCTTTAGGCTCCTGACACAAGCGAGCAGGTGCATCCAGGATGCCCTGGGGAGACCGGGCTGGCCAGGGCTGGGGTCCCCGGCCCTGTCACTGCGTCCACATGCTGGGATCCTCACCATGAGGAAAGACACGTCATCCTCCTTCATCTCCATCTGCAGCCGCTCGATCTCATGGGCCAGCGCCTCAGTCTCCTCAGTGAGCTGTTTCATTTTCTCCTCTGCCAGCAGCTGCTTCTGCCGCGCCTCCTCAGCCATGGCCTCCAGGACAGCCTGCTCCTCCGCCCGCAGGAACTCCCGCAGCTTGTCAAACTCCTGCCGGATGCGGCTCTCCAGCCAGGCGGCCTCCACCTGCGGGGAGCGGGCGCAGGAGGGGTCGCACAGTGCAGGTGTGCAGGGCCTCGGCTGTGCCCCAGCCCAGCGACTGTCAGAGTTTTAGCAAAGGAACCACACATTCAAAAGAAATCATCTGTCGAACCCCTAGCGATAAAGTATCGATGTGATGGTTTATCAGCACAAACCTGTAAGTTCAAGAGTCAAGAGGGAAAGTCAAATAGTATAACGAGGCTGCTCTGATGCACGTTTTCCCTTCATCCATCCACCCGGGTTAATTGAACTTAACAGGAAAAGCATTACTCAAGCTGGAATCCTGGAGGCTTCACTCCTGACCATGGTACTTGGCCTCAGCAGAAAGCGTATGAGTTCTACACTGCCTGGGATGGGCAGACTGTGCTACCCCCTGGACAGATGGACTCTCACATGCATCCCCAGTCCAGTACCTCAAGGCGAGCCAGTTTTATGGCTTTGGCCACAAGATGAATCAGGTCAAAGGACTGAGATGAATCAGCTAGACGACTCCAGCACTACTACTGGGAAAAACAACTCCACAGGTGTCCTCAGCTATGGCAGGTTATTAATCTCATTTTAGATTGTAATTTCAGTGTATGTTGATGGCTCTGACACAGGATGACAGAATGATTCCTTGAAAAGTGAAATCATCTCTCAGATCAGTGAGTTGATCTTTAAGATATTAGAAATGCTGATGACTTCTCTCTGTTGGGCACTTACCTGCATTATCTTTCTTATCTGAATGTTTTGAAAAAATCCTAGTAAAAGGGAATTATCTTCTTTTTAACAGATGAAGAGATTAGCGTGGGTTGAGGCAATTCTCTGGAGCACTGGGCTTGCATTTGAGAACAGGCCTGCTTTGAGATTACTGCTCTGGCCCCAGTATTTCACCACCCTTTCTTCTGCTCTGTCCCACCAGCTCTTTGGCTCGGGGCAAACACCACAGCCAGATGTTAACGAGGCTCTTTCCTGAGCCTAATCCTCATCCATGGACACACAGGCACTGAAGGACACTGCAGGCTCTTTAGGGCAGTGGCCCATAGCCCCTACCACGTGTGTCTCAGCTGTGGCTGAAACGAGTCCAACCAAGTGGTAAATTCTAGAAGCAGCTATCTCAGGAAGTGACAGACCAGAGCCACAGCAAATAGTCAAAAGCCAGGGTGCCAATCCACACAGGACTCAGATGGAGGGAGGACACCAAGGCATAATGACAGGAACGGGGACAGAGGAGAGCCCATTCACTTGCTCCATCAATAAACACTTTATTAATCACCAGTCAATTCATTCACTCAACAAACATTTATTGATCACCTATTGTGTGCCAAGAACTCTTCAAGATACTGGGAATAGTGTGCCCTGCTTTCAATATATTCTGATGGGAGGAAATAAAAAATAAATATAAAGAAAAAAGATAATTACAGTTAACAAAGTGTTAAGAGAAAAAGAAAAGAGATATGATAATGAGCAAAAGTGGAAGGCTATTTTGCATGGGGAAATCAGGGAAAGCTTCTCAGAAAAGACACCCAAGCTGAGATTTTAACGTTAAGGGACAGACGACACCAGGGTGGCAGAAGCAGGGAGCTCCAAGCCAAGGAGGAGCAGATGGAGTCGAGGAGGCACGTGGGGGTCAGATGATGGCCTCAGAGGCCACGGTAAGGAGCCTGGACTTATCCTGAGTGACGGGAAGCCACCGGGCAGTTTCGGCAGAGGAGTGGCACAGCTGATGCGCTTCTCTACAAGATCTCTCCAGTGTGTGGAGAGCAGGACGTGGAACAAGAGCGGAAGCAGGGCCCAGGTAGGCCAGGTGAGAGGTGAGGGAGACCTGGACCAGGACGTGGCACAGGACTGCTGGTGGAGTGGACATGGGGACTGAAGGAAGTAACCGTGGCCAGAACACCTGGGTGGATGGTGATGTGCGGCATGCACTGAAGTTGCTCTTAGATTGTAGTGCAGATGGTGTGGCGCAGGTGGCTTTTGAAGCTGCTCCCATGGCTGCTGGCGTGGCCTTGCCCAGGTCTTTGGAGAGGCCCAGGCAGAGCAGCCACATCAATGAGGCTGTGAAGGCCACCAGAGTTAAGGAGAGCCGCTCTGTGTCAGCAGCTACCCGTGGGTGATGTCGGCTGTGGCCAGGGCCGAGCTACCTTCACTGCTCCCCCACCTGCCCTGGGTGTCCCCGGTGTTCCCACTCACCTGGTTGTGCTTGGCGATGGCCTCATAGGAGCGCCGCATGGCCCAGAAGGCCTTGGCTTTCTCCCGCAGCGAGTGCTCCATGTTCCTGCACTTGGCCTGATGTGGGGACGAGAAGGAGGAAGGACGTTTATGGCTGGACAACACCACAGCAACAACTGGAATGCCACCTCAACGTGAGTTACCCCACCACACTCACTGAACCCGGTTGTGCCAAGAACCGGGGGTGCAGCTGAATGTTAAGTACGGTCCTGACCTGAACCAGACATTCACAAGAGAGAGGACCCTCAGGTATCCTCTAACCCAGCCACTTCGCTACACACCCCAGTGGGGGAAGGACCCTGTTCTCTCTCTCGAGACAGCACAGAAGGGCATCTTGCTCGGGTCTGGAGCTAGTCCAGGCGGGGCCCAGAATCCCTGAGCTGCGTGGACAACTCTAAAGGCAGTGCAGTCACAAGCTCCCTCTGCAACTTCTCAATTGAACTGGTCCATGGTCACTCAAGAGCAGGTGTGACCATGGGGAGTGCCCCAGGCATTCCTGCTCGGGTCTGGAGCTAGTCCAGGCAGGGCCCAGAATCCCTGAGCTGCGTGGACAACTCTAAAGGCAGTGCAGTCACAAGCTCCCTCTGCAACTTCTAAATTGAACTGGTCCATGGTCACTCAAGAGCAGGTGTGACCATGGGGAGTGCCCCAGGCATTCCTTGTAGGGTGAAGTCATTTCCCATGAGGCCTGGTCTACACATGTCCCTCCATACCCCACCTTATCCTGACATTCTAATATTGCTTGGATCACATGAAAAACTTTAATCATCAGGTTTAAATATTTTTTGTTTAGTAGTTTTTGTTTTTTAAAATTTAATTACTGTTTCTGATCTCCTTTGACTCCTTGAAGAGGCACTATGCGTTTCAGGTTGGATTCTCATGTTTTGTATCTGAGGCCTGTCATTTTCTCCCCATCTTTATCCTTTCCTCCCTAGATTCTGAGAAAGACTTTCAAGTTTTTTCTTCAGGAAAAAAAATAGGAATAACAATTCTAACAATATTAATTATAAATGACTACCGTCTACTGAGCACTTACTATGTGCCAGGGATGGTGTTAATTACTTGACAAATCATTTCACTTAATCATTGCGTCATCCCTGTTAGGTAGGTAACGTTAGCACAATTTTACAGATGCAACAGAGAAGCACAGAGGGGAAATGGCTAGCCCAAAGGCACACTGCCAGGACGGAGCAGAACCAGGACATGAACCCAGACAGCTGTGCAAGCAGCTGCTAAAATGGCTCTGGTGACACCCACCCCTGGTATTCATGCCTATGTGGAGTCCCTCCCCAGTAGGCTGCACCTGTTGACTTGCTTCTAACCAAAGGAATGTGGCAAAAGTGATGGTTACATCACTTCCAAGATTAAGTGACAAAAAGACTGTGCAAACTTGCCTTGTTCCCTCTTGCTTGCTCACTCGGATGGAAGCCAGCTTCCATGGGGTGATCTGCCTTAAAGAGTGACCCGTGGGGTGAGGAACTGTGGGTGGCCTCTTACCAACAGCTGGTGAGGGACTGAGGCTCTCAGGCCAACAGCCCGTGAGGACCTGAATCCTGCCAACAACCACACAAGTGAGCTTGCAATAGGATCCTGCCCTGGTTGAGCCTTCAGATGAGACTGCAGCCCTGGCTAACATTTTCACTGCGTCCTGGTGAGAGACCCAGAGGCAGAAGTGCCCAGCTGAGCCATGCCCAGATTCCTGATCCACAGAAACACACGTTTGTTGTTTTAAGCCACTACATTTTGGGAAATTTGTTATACAAGAATAAATAACTAGCCCAGCGGTCCTGCACCACTGCCCATTCTTTTAACTCTCACGCTATAGAAAATAAAACAATTACCGATTTCATTTTTCTACAGGTTCTGTTTTTTCTATTCATTCTGATCATGTTTATGTTCTTAGTGAGAATGTTGAACAGATTTGTTTTAACATTGTTTTCTGTAGTATATCATTTCTAAGGTGCATCTCAATAGCAGAATAACATGAATCAGAGTATCCCACAAAACTACTGAAAGACACAAAAGGATATAGTATTATTATTATTATTCCATTTACATGAAGTCCAAGAACAGGCAACACTAAGGTGACAGAAATCAGAAAGTGGTTGGAGGGAACTTTCCAGAGTGATAAAAATGTTCCATATTTTGTTTTAGGTGGCAGGTGAACAGTTTACAAAACAGTCAGCAAGGTCAAGGGTTCAGATACCCACACTGGCCAGCCACAAAACAAACAAACAAACAACAAAAAAAAACCCAGAACTCATGAAACTGAACCTTTAATCTTTCAATTACATTTGTGGTTGGTAATTTAGGTAATTTATTTTCTGGGGCATAAAACATACATGTGTAATTTCTTAATTATAAATCAAACACTCCTGTAACCACTACCCAGGGTGTGTCCTTTCTCAATCATCCCCTTCTTCCTCCCACAGGGAACTACTATCCTAATTTTTATAGTATTCTCTTGCTTTCCATTATAGGTATATCACGTATGTATGCACCCCTAACCTAATTAACACACTCGAGCTTTGCCTGTTTTTGAACCTTATATTATAATGGACTCACACTACATGTATTCTTTTATGTCTGATCTCTTTTTCTTAACATTGATTTGCAGGATTCTACTTACACTTATATGTAAGTTTACTCCTTTTCATTGCTGTAAAGTATTGCACAGTGTGAATATACCACATTTATCTATTCCATTGTTAATGGACAGTTGGGTTATTTCCAGTCTGGGAGTCATGCAAATAGTATGAACATTCTTGTACAGTCTCCTGGGGACACACGTGCACTAATTCCTCCACAGTATATTTCTGGAGGTAGAATCACTGGGCCACAGAATATGTGTCTTCAACCTCTGTAGATAATGCCAAATTGTTTCCCAAAACAGTTTTACTGATTTATACGACATGAGGAATGTTAATGAAAAATATCAACCACCTAGATCTTTAAGTACCTACTAAAGTCTTTTGCCCATTTTCTTGCTGGTTTGTAGGAATTTATTATCTATGCACAATGTATGTCTTTTACTGGTTAGGTGTGCAATGGATATCTTCTATTGTATGGTTTATCTTTCTTAATTTCAATCTGGTCAAATTTATCAGTCTTTTCCTTTAGGATTAGTGCATTTTGGTTTTAAGAAACATTTCCCTACACTGAGGTCACAAAGATAACCTATTTTATTTTCCCAAAGCTTTACGGCTATCCTTTCACACTTAGGTCTAATGTAGATACATTTTTTTCTATGAAGTTTATTTTTGTGAAAAAACAGACAAGGAGCTCGTAGCCTCAGTTCCATTATTTAAAAACGATCATCCCCTACTGAACTGCAACGGCTACCTCTGTCCTAAATCAAATGCAGACTTGTTTCTTGGCTCTCTGGTCTGCTTGCCTGGCTCATCTGTCTGTCCCTGGGCATATATCATGTGCTCTTAATTTCCGAAGCTGTAAACTAAGGTGATCTCTGAGAGACATCTCTTCAAGAATGCCCTGGCAATTCTTGGCCTTTTGGATGTCCATGTAAATTTTAGAATTAGTGTTGCATGCTGTGATTTAGATTAGTATAGTACTACTCTACAGATCCATAGGGAGAAAAGTGACATCTTTAGATATTTATCCTCCTAATCTATGAACACGATCTATCTTACCAGTTATTTAATCTTCTCCAATGTATGAAGTTTTATATATTTCCCTACCTGAGTTTTGTATATCTTTTGTTAATTTCTTCCTAGATACCTGATGTTTTTATACTACTGCAAACATATTTTTAAATTTTATTTTCTATTTGCTAGTGACATACACAAATACAACTGATTTTGTGTCTTGATTTTGTTCGTTATTCTGCCTAAACTTATTCATACTCAATTTAGCTGTAGAATCTTTTTATTTTCTATTCAATAAAAATTTCTGTGCGAAATATGCAGTCATATTATCTACATTCCAATGCCAGTTTTACTTCCCCACTTTCCAAACCTTCTACCTTTTATTTATGATTCTTGTCTTACTTCACTGGCTATGAGCTCCAGTACAAAATTGAATAGAATTTGGTCATAATGGGCATTCCTGACTTTTTCTTAAATTTCAATAAGAAAGCTTTCAATATTTCACCATGAAATGTTGTATTTTGCCATAAGTTTTTTGGTAGATACCTTAATTAGATTAATAAAATTCCTTCTATTCCTAATTTGCAAAGTTTTTCTTAAATCACAAAAAGATGGTGAATTTTATCAAATGCTTTTTCATCTATTGAGATAATCAGATTAAGCAGTGCAGAACTGGGTTTTGTTATATAATCCAGCCAGTAAACCACTGTCATTTAACTAGAGCATTTAGCGTAATTAGATTTTTTGTAATTTATTTATTTTTTATTTATTTATTTTTTTAAAGATGACCGATAAGGGGATCTTCACCCTTGACTTGGTATTGTCAGCACCACGCTCTCCCAAGTGAGCCAACCAGCCATTCCTATACAGGGATCCGAACCCACAGCCTTGGTGTTATCAGCACCACACTCTCCCAAGTGAGCCACGGGCTGGCCCTTTTTGTAATTTAAATAAAATATTTGCATTCAAATCTCCCCTCTAGTTCTGTACTATCTGTCCTGCTTATTCAATTTTTCTTTTTCTTGTCTTGCCCTTTTTCTGGATTTATTGTACATTTTTATTCCATTTCTTACCTTGTATGCATTTAGTAGATAACCTAGAAAATACTACATTTGAACGCATCTAAATAATATTCGTCTCTTGCTTGCTTTTGATATTCTGATTTCGACACTAAGCACACCTGTATCACAAATGGACCCATCATTCCAGAGACCTGCCTGGAGGCCGGGGAGTGCCTGAATGAGCACAGGTGGTCACTGGGGGCGCTCTGGTGAAACCTGGTCAGGACCAGCATGGATCACTACTGCTCTGGGTGGAGCCCAGTGGCCCAGAACAGGTCTGGAGCCTCAGCCTGCCCCAAGACCAGGAGGGCAAACATGCCCGGATCTTGGCATCACATTATATGTAACATGTGGGTGACATGTGTTACTACTTGTAACACACACAAATAGG